CTGTAAAGTGCTATATAAATAAATGTTGATTGATTGATTGATTGATTGATTAAGTGGCAAGTGTCCTAAATGATGTGCTCTGTCTTTGAAGTATTCCAATAGAATGAAAAGGGCTGTCACTTTAAGAGGATTACCATATTTCCTCAGTGAAGACCCATCAAGGTTTCTCAGGACAGCTGAAGTAAGCCTGATTTTATGACCTATCGTATTATGACCTATGAGCACACACCAGACCAATTTGAGCAAACTGACTATGATGCTGATTGCCCATGGCTCTGTTGCCTTTGATGTGGCAAATGTGCCAGCAAAGATCTGCCTATATCGGCGGAGCAGCGTGTACCACTCAAATTTGGGCCACAAACACTCATTGACAGGCATGGCACTTATCATTCAACATCTGACTGTTGGCCTGGTGTGTGCTCACTAGAAAATTTGCTTTATGTTTATTAATTGACATGATCCACACAAAACAGTAACATACAAGCAAAGACCTACATATTAATTAAAACAACCCGAACAGGCCCAAGAGAATGGATAGAAAATGTAACATGAATTTAGTGTGGAAACATGTTTTGAAGTTGACATTTGAGGCAATGGGGGACGGGCAGAGCTTAAAGATTCCCTATCCTTTATGGTGGGGAATGACAGGAGTGTCAATGTGAAAACCACTTGATTATTCTGACATTGTGTTAAATCTTAAACCCATTAGTCTCACAACTCAAGTTTTCCAAACTCCACACCAGTACTTATTTTCCCTTTGTTTGGACAGGCCACAGACACCGAAGAGAGCATGGCAAAAGAGATGAATGTCGGTATCATCCTGATAAAAGATGGAGAAGACCTCCTTGACATGTCTGTGGTGCTTGAGGATCAAATCATCCTGCATGACATCAAGAACTTCTCAAAAGCAGTAGCTATGCTAATGGGTCTACTCTATGTGTTGAACATTGACTATCCAACGGAGCTACGATACACCTTTGAAGTCATCCAGAAGGTTCTCATGAACATTGGTGCTGACCACTGCTCTACGAGGGTTCATGGTCTGAGGAACAGACTTTTTCGTAAAATGGAGTAGAATCTTTTCCACAGTTTTCTTTTTGAATTCGGCTTCCCCACTGTAATTATGCTTATTAACCACTCTTAATTAACCCATGGTAAAATGGAAGAAGCCAGTGCTGCAGTGGATCAGCAGTCCAATCTGTCTGGATCTACTGACCAGTGGCTATTCCCTGTGGACACAGTTACTGTATGAGCTGCATTAAGAGCTGCTGGGATCAGGAGGATCATCTTGTAATTTACAGCTGCCCCCCAGTGCAGACAGACCTTCACACCCAGACCTGTTCTGGGCAGAAACACCATACTGGCTGAGGTGGTGGAGAAACTGAAGAAGACTGGACTACAAGCAGCTACTCCTGTTGACCATTATGCTGGACCTGGAGATGTGGAGTGTGACATCTGTACTGGGAGAAAACACAAAGCTGCCAAGTCCTTCCTACTGTGTCTGGCCTCTTACTGTGAAACTCACCTCCAGCCTCACTATGAGTCTCCAGCTTTTAAGAAGCACAAGCTGACTGATGCCACTGGACATCTGCAGGACAAGGTCTGTTCCCAGCATGACAGACCGCTGGAGGTGTACTGCCGTACCGACCAGCAGTGTGTCTGTAATCTCTGTACGATGTATGAACACAGAGGCCATGATACAGTCCCAGCTGCTAAAGGAAGGGCGGAGATACAGGTCAGGCCAGAAATGCTCTTATAAAAATTATATGGTATATTCAAAATGAATTAAGCATGAAAACATAATGCTTTCTGTCTTTTACAGTGTTTGTATATCAGCTATTAAGACAGGAATGATGCCTGGTTATGTAATATAAAGGGGCAAAACCTTATCGTGATGTCACTGTAAAGTGAAAAATGGTCTGACTGATTTTCTACTGAAAGCTGCTTTAAATAAATCAAGGTTTTTATTGTTAACATGCATTGACACTACAGCAATGACGAAAAGTATTCTGTCATTCAAAATCAAAATGAAACTAAAAGAGAAAATGACAACTAAAAACTAAAACTCCCAAACTGACTGAAATAAAATAAAAATCAACAGAAATAAAAATGAGTAGAGACCCGGACCTGGTGCCTCTGTTGTCAGTTTTGTTCAGGCTCACGATTAAATAAATAATAATGCGTTATCACTTCAAAGCCTCCTTACAATAAGATATATTATAATTTTATTATTTGCAGCTTTATTTATTACATGAAAATGGCATATATTGTGATATTACACAAAATTAAACAATATTAGCACTGAGCAGTATTTATTCACTCTTATCATGTATTGGCGGCAGAAGTGGAAATTTCAGGTCCAGAAAGTAAAAATCCAAACCAGGATTTTGTTTCAGCCAAAGCTACTAAAGTTGAGTATTCTATGACTGTGACTCTTTATACTCAACTGGTTGGTTGAAACAAAATCCTAGTTTGGATTTTTACTTTCTGGACCTGAAATGTCTGTCTCTGATTGGCGGTAGCAGTCAGCGAAGGGCGGGAAGGTGCCAATGGCGTCATATGGGCTTAGACCGGCCCTAAGAATAGAATTTAAAGGCGTACCTAAGTTGCCCCCACAGATGTGTTNTCACAACCCACTGCGCAAAGTGACGTCGAAATGACGTCTTTAATATGTCGTTTTTGGACGTCCAATTTTGGTCCACTGAAGGGGTTGTTTTGTAACGCCAGGCGACGCCTTTTTTTGACGTCTAATGAACGTCTAGTATTGACGGCCGTGGGACCTCCATGTATGGGCTATTTATAGTCCAAATGTGGCCGTTGTGGATGTCTTTTCAACATCTTATAATATCAAAAGCAGACTAATTTTAGACATTGTGTATGTCGTATGTCGTGTCTCGACTAAATTCATATATAAATGAACAGTTTCACCATGCTTTCAATTAAAACTTACATTTAAATAATGTATTGCTGCGACGAGCAGATTGAGGTATCGCAAGCAGAGAAACACGGAGACTACTCTGTCGGGGAACACCAACTCAATTAATAATCCGTACAAGGATTACATCAGGCACCCAACGAGCACCAAACATATGTAAGAAACACAAAGTTGTCAGACAACGAACTGTAAGACGCATACACGGTGGGACATTTATGTAAGCTAATTACACATGAGGATCATGACCGGGTACACACAAGACACAAGTAAACACATGCGCAACAATAAGGAATTACCTATTTACAATAACAGCAACAACACAACAATGGCTATTTACAACTGCACGCGGGGCATGCTGGGACATGAGCCCCGCCAGTGCTACAGTGTATACAACAGAACAGTACAGAGCTAAAGTATCATGAAAAGTAAAAAACATAATTTAGCATTAACCTAGTTTAGCAAGCTGGATGTTAATTTGTTCGACCAGGCATCAAGCTAATGCCAGATTTTGAAATCCCGCGTTCTACACGTGCACAAAAGTGTCCGCGAGGGACGTGGATAAAACTGTTACAGCTGCTCTGCACTACTCAGTTTTCACATGGTTTTCAGAACGAACATAAAAAACAATGCACGATATAATTTATTGTCATATCAGCGCAAATGCACATAATATACGTACGCATTTGCATAATATATCATGTTTGTTTCGAAATCTGTATTCACATTTATTATGTTGATAACAACAATGTTGATATTTGTAAATAAAACAATATTTCCTGCACCTGTCATAGTCGTCCACATAACGTCAAAAAAATTACGTTCAAATGTTGAATGTCATATTGACGTACAAGTTGGGTCATGGATGGACGTTCAAATTGTGGACCTAGTTTGGACGTTGTATAGATGTCCAGAATTGGTCATGGACTGATGGACCTAATATAGGTATATGATCTGCACTTCTATCCGACGTCCAATGTTTAGTGGGAATGTTCATTTAAGCTTTGCCATAATAATGTATTGGATACTGTGTGATTACTTTTTTAGGGCATCTTTCTTTTTAAGAAATTCAAATCAAAACTAAATTATGAAGCTCAGTAAAAACAAATTGTTAAAAAATGGTCAAAAACAGTAAACAGAAACTAAAATGAAAAGGACACAAAATTAAAAGAAAGTATTAAAATAAAAACTTTAAATGAACAAATAAATGAATTAATAAATAATGGAACTCAAATATCTTTGGTATATATGCATCCAGATATAAAATCTACATTCAGGTGAATTAGTGTTTCTGATTTCCCTATATAGTGTGTGTTCCTACGATGGACTGACATCCTATCCCAGGTGTCCCTGACTGTGCTTCCTATGATAGGCTGCAAGCTCATTGTAACTCTGCTCTGGATAAGTAATTATAGAAAAATGGAGTAATTAAAAAAATGCAATTACTGTACAGCTTGGGGTGAGACAGAGAAGATCAAGGCAGAGGATCCAAGAGAGAGAGAAGGAGCTGCAGGAGCTGAGAAAGGTTGTGAATCGAGAGTTTGAACCTGAGAGCATAATATTTCAGCTGAACGATTTCTGGTTCAGTCAGGCCTCAACTCAGGCACGCAGTTCGGCAGTATGGAGGGCAGTCAACTTATAGTCTTTTGAGGCAAAATTCCACTGAGCAAGAATGTGGAAAACAGGATGTGAGTGTGGAAAAACACGAATGGAACCAAGTTTGAGGCCGCAGAGGGGGAGGGTGGAAAGGAAGGTTATATAAGGAGGAGGTAGTTTGTCAGAGCGCCAGGATCTGTTTGGTTGTAATAAATCTGGAATATAACTATATAATATAGTTATTGATAAGTTTTGTTTTTTTTTAAATGGCAAGCAGATCAAAACTGGCCAGATTAGCTGTTGTTGCTTTGAGAAGAAATAGGTTTTGCTATTAATATTGTTTTGCTGTTATGATTGTCTCTTGCAGTAAATTCTTCTCGGGATCCTCAGGCACCCTAGTCTGTAGGCAAAAAAAAAAGATAAAATATACATGGAGAGATTTTACAGAGTACATTCCTCTCCCACAGCTCTTTGTGCAAGAGGCAGAGGAGCACAGCGAGAGGGTCCTCACTGAGATTTAATTTATTTATTTTTTAAATTTTATTTTCATTTTATTGAAAGCAGATGCTGTGGTGAAAGTGCTGATCCGAGATCAGGAGAAGGCTGTATTAAATCAAGTAAATAGACTGCAGGAACAGAGCTGAAGAGGAGATGTACTGAGTTTGAAGGCCTCCTACAAATAGAGGATCCAATCCAGTTACATTCCTGTATCCAAAATAAGCAAAACAACACAGATGTTCTTAAAGGTGAAATTGAAACTGTTATATTAATAACTGGAAACAAAAGATCGCATGGGGGTTAAACCAAAGAGCAGAGAGGAACAGCGAGGAGCCACTATGAAAAACCGGGATCAGATTTAGGAACAGAGAAGAGGGCTGGAGAGAGCACTGACTATGGCACTGGGGAACTGGGGAACAGTAACTGGCACAGTGGCTGGTGAAGTAAGAGACAAAGATGGTGGTTGTGGCTGGACTGGGGAGCACAAGACAAACAGGTACTGATGTACTAATGAGGATCGAGAGATTGGCAGGTGTGACTGCCAACAGTGGCTTCTGTTGGCCAAACAGGAGCTTGACAGACAGATTTTGACAGTCATTTTAAGGGAAATGGCACAAACTCTAAGTCACTTCTTTACGGGCTGCACAGAACAGTATGCTTTGCTTGTCTGACAATTTCCAAACAGGAGTGGTTGTAAACCAGATAGGGCCACCCCCTCATTTTTATCCAGCTGCCAAACGGGTGAGACATTGTTCAATTTGTTAAAAAAGAAATAGTCACATTTTACAAAAACAAAATTATTGATGTATTATTTTGCCTCATGCCTTCGTTTATAATAAGCAAACCTTCAGGTCATAGACAATTATGGCAATGACTGTCACAGTATATATTATCAAGATAGGTATGGATCTCAGGGCTGTCAGCTACTGAGTTCAGCTTTGAGAAAAATGAGATAAAAAATAATTACAAAACCTATAAAACACATGTATAAGTAAAGAACTTGAACTTGAATTAGTTCAGATTTTTGAGAGAATTTGAATCACTGTTTAAGTCCAGATAATCTTGGTAATGTAGGGTTACTGCATGAGTTGTGATGAATGAAACAGGTATACAAACAATACCCATAACATCTGGTAGCTGATTATGAAGAGGGTTTATTTTTTGAAAAGATAAGAACAGAAAACTCACTCACTGTTTTTCGTCACATTTAAAAGAAAAAGTTAAATGGACTTGAATGTGAACTAAATGGTGAACCATGAGCATGAATTTATTATTTTTTTCCTGTAGGAACAGAACATTTAACTAATGCGGGTGCACTGCAAGCCCAGAACCAGTCTGTGGTTACTCTTGGCAAATTCTGAAACAAATTCATTCATGTCTAGATTTTCTGTGCTTTCCTTCTCATGTGCTAGAATGGCTAAATTCCTCTTCCTTGAATGCAGCATTGTTCTGCAGCTGGCATCACGGGCAACAGAATACTCGAGCCATGGTCGAGACTGATACTGTTAAATGAGGGGAAATCCAAAAATGTGCAGGGCTCCGGCCCCCCAGGACTGCAGTTTGACACCCGTGATCTATATCATTCAAATGTGTGTTAACGAATGGGGTAATTGTGCAATAATTCATTTCTTTTCATATATTTTGGTCTATGTACTACAGTTTGTCTTTGTTATTTCTTTTTGATATTTATACATTTTATTTAGCATATATTTTAATTTTAAATTTCATCATTATTTAATTTTATCGTTCAAAATATCATTGAAAATGGGGGGAGGAGGAGGAGGTGGGAGATGGACTCACAATTTTTTGTTGACGGGGGGATAGAGTTCACCTAGGGTGCCATACAAGCTAGAACCACCACTGGGGCTTCAAATCGCAGCAGCTGGCGTGTTCTCCCTGTGTTATGTGGGTAGATCGAGATTTCTCTCACATTATTGACTTTGCTGTGCTGAAAAGGACAGTGTTTTTCACTTGTGCTGTGACTTCTCTGGTGCACTAGGGGGAGACAGAGTCATTTGCAGCGTAAACTGCAGCTCAGCCTGGAAATGCTGCCTGCTGACGATCTCGGCTCTCTGTGTAAACATCCTGCTGCTGGGCTTGGTGCTGAGTCGCGTAGCCCTGAGGGTTTGAGTCACTGGATTTCTGATGGGCTCTTATATCACTGTGTTTCCCTCACTTTGGTCTCTCTGCTCTGTCGTAGACCATGTTTCTTACTGCATAACAGCCAGCATATCTGGACCGTGGCAAACCATACAGATTTACACTTTTTAAACACATTTGGTGTTTCATAACCTTAAGATATACTGCTCAGTTTTACCTTCAAACTCAGATCCATCCTTCACCGCCCCTCTGGGCTTCCCTGACCTCCAGCTCTCACTGCAGCAATAGAGGATGGTGGCTCCACTCACAGACAGGCTGCAGTGCCTTCATTGTTTGCACGGGGTTTCTGTGAGTGGAGCAGCGTCACTGATGATCTAATTCTGGTTTCCTGTGTAATGTGACTTTCTAGCCTACTGCAGTTGTGATAGACACACAAAGTATTATTGATATTGGGATTTAAACAGTGCCATCAAAAAAAAATAAATCAGCACAGTGTTCAACAAGTTTTGCTACTGGCTGTTTAGCAGGTTATCCGTGTATCTTTTTCTTTTTTTCATGCCCTACATGGTGCTGCGCATGTTTACTTGTGTGTTTGTCTGTATTTTCATTTGTCTTTCATTTGTTATTAAATTAAAATATTGTTCATTATCTTTCTAGACAATGCCCAGCCCTATGTGGTATCAGTGAATACCAGAAAGCAAAAATCACTACTGTGACTACTCATATCCTTGAAAAAATGGCAGTGATGGAACCCGGGCTGCCGATATTCTGCTCAGCATAAGTTTACCCTACTTTACCCTACTTTACCCTATATTTGCTTGTTTGGAGGCTGCCTGCCCCCAAATAAGTTTCCTCTAAGCCCCCCCCCCAATTAAAAAGATGTTTCCACCCACAGGATGCACAGTTAGTCGGGGTGCTTTATCATGTTATATCATTGACCACAGACAACATGTTGTGTTGAAAGGTCATGATGGCGGCCGTTTCAGAAATGCTGTAGCCAGAGGGCCAGACACTAAGTTTAGCCTCACACTATTCACATTATGATCCTATTAGGTCATTTTGTGCCCCCTTTTTGTTCAAGTGTGCGTGTGTTGCACCTGTTATATTCTCTGCGGCAGTAAAGACACAAAATGTAAAATTGATAGATATCAGTAATGTCAGAGCGGAAGAGAGAGACCAGGAAGAGAGAGCCAGTCTTCAGAGGGCTGGGGTCTCTGACAGACTCAGTCATGGCTCCTCTGCTCTTCCTCCTCCACGTCTTCTTCATTAGGCTGCCAGGTAAGAGAGAAATATCGATCATAACGCAATATTCATAAGTTCATTAGAAAGTATTATAAAAAGAATCATCCAGTGGATAAATATATCAGGTTTCATTTTCTTAGAAAAATGTTACAATATCAGTCAATATATGTTTTTTTTAATTGCTTTGCCTTGTTGTTGCGCATCATTAAAAGTACATTGACTTATTTCGTGATCATTTTTATTAGTGATACTATTTTGTTACAAGTTGCTCTGTTCCATAGATGTCAACTTGGCCATATTGGAAATGGTGAGATGGATAATTAAAGGAAAACCTGCACAATTTCGTAATAACAGTGAGCCATCAAACAAAGGCAGGGTCTTCTTACACACAGTGGGGCACTAATTTGAAACTGATATATTCTAATGCCTAGAGGAGCAGAGGGCAACAGTAATACTTGCCGAACAGGGGTGGGGTGGGGGGGGTTTCTGACAGTGAAACTTGACCTTCCCCATGTTGTCGTTTTGTCTTTGGTTTGGCCACATGAGAAACGTTGACATTTTCATCTCACTGCCATGGTAAAATAAAACTATGAGTCTTGTGGGCAAACCGTCAGAATTGCCATCTGTGGTGTTCAATGTGCGCTGATTGTCTGCAGGAAGTATGTGAGTACTTAGTCACTGGTATATAAGCCAAAACAACTCCAAACACAGGTGTTTAATTTAAGTTTAAACTTAGTTATTTAGATTAAATTATTATTTTTTTGTATATATACTAAACATGCAAACTTGAATTTACTCACATGTTGAATTGCATAATTTATTGCATTGAAAATAACAATGTTTCATAGGGTGAAAGGAGATTTACATGGATGCCGTAGAAATGCTGGGTAAATAAAACACAGTCTAAGAAATAGGTTCTGCCAGTGACTGTATAGACTGTGAGTTGCTAAGTCACCATTTCCATGATGTCCCTGCAGGTGGTGACAGTGTGAGGACATTTAGGTATTTAACTGTGCAGAGTGGAGAATCTCTCACCATCCCATGTTTCTATGATCAGAAGTATAAAGACCATGTGAAATACTGGTGTAGAGGGAAATTATGGTCCTCCTGTACAATCATGGCACGCACAGACTCACCACAGAGCTCCAGTAAAGTGTCAATCACTGATAGTCCCGCCAAGCTAGTTTTCAATGTGACCATGAGGAACTTGGAGACAAGTGACACTGGTATCTACTGGTGTGCTGTAGAGATTGGTGGAATTGGTGAGATGGATGACTTCCAGTCTCTCTTGATAGAGGTTAAAGGTAAGATGCAATGACTTTCACAAATTTTAATCCCAGTGAAGTATTTGCATACTGATTTCATACAATGCCCATATACTGATTTTTGATTAAAATAAATGAACAGTACCTGATTTTTTTTCCTGTTCACACAGCTGCTCGGAGTGTGAGGACTGTGAGCTGGGTATCTGCAGAGAGAGGAGGATCTGTCACCATCCCATGTTATTATGATCAGAAGTATAAAGACCATGTGAAGTACTGGTGTAGAGGGCGTGATTGGAATTCCTGCTCCTCATTGGCACGTTCTGACTCCAATCAGTCAGCAGGGAAAGTGTCAATCAGTGATGACCCCGCCCACCTGGTCTTTAATGTGGCCATGAGGAACCTGCAGGAAATGGACTCTGACACTTACTGGTGTGCTGTGGAGATTCACGGTGCAGCAGATGATGGTGTCTATCTACAGCTGATGGTGATGGAAGGTGAATTATACGTCTATATGTCTAAATATTCTGTATACTCCCTTTGGCCGAGGATAAAAAATGACCTACCTTTGCCACATTCCTATGATACAGCCTCTTGACTGAATTTTAATGATTACACCAGTTTTACATGAAGAAGCAACCTGCTACACATGAATAAATGTTTATAGCTACTCTTGTAGGTCTTTATCACAAACTGTGATGCCATCCTGCCCTGATCACCTTAGAATTATGAGCACTATTCAAGCTTATTCTTAGATAAAAATGTCTCTCTCTTAGCTTGATGGTTTTCAGGGAGTTTTTCCTCATCTGAAGCTGACTCGTCATGATCTGGGTTATACTCCTGCCCTTCATCTTCTTCAGAGATCCCGTCCTCCTCTATTTGATTGTGCTCTTGTTCCGCCGGTATACATCCTATGAAATCAACAGATCAAGGACCCGTTAGACAATGTACTATGCAATTATGGGTTCATCAGCGTTCATAAAAGGTCCTGGCGCCTGCAACACCTTTTATAGGAATATGACCCCCCCTCCCACCCCATTACCCATTCTATTTGAGAAAGCAATACTTTCCCATGAGAAATATGCTTTTTTGATGCATTGTGTGATATAGTATCTGGGACTTTCTAAGAAGTTTGGTCAGGTGTGAAGTTGGGGGACAGGCAATACTGTAAATTTATGGGAAAGTTTTTTTTTTTCTTCGGAACATGCACATCTATCTATCTGTCTATCTATCTATCTATCTATCTATCAATCATGCTCTCTAACTGAAGAAATATCAAGATACTATTGAATCAGGTCATTTATTATGGTGGTGTAATGGTTGGCACTGTTGTCTCACACTGCTGGGACTGGGGTTGGTGTCTCTGCCATGGTCCTATGTGTGTGGAGTTTGTTTGGTCTTCCTGTGTCATTCTGGGCTTCCCTGCTGGTGCGTTGGTTTCCCCCCGGTCCAAAAACATACCAAATTGTGTGTGTGCCCTGTGATGGGTTGGTGCCCTGTGATGGGTTGGTGCCCCATCCTGGGTTGGTGCCCCATCTTGGGTTGTCCCCTGCCTTGTGCCCATAGGCTCCAGACCCCCCATGACCTTGAATAGGAGAAGCAGTTACAGAGGATGGATGGATGTTTATTATGTTTTTACATTTGTTGTAAATAATATCTTAGTGGCTTAATTTGTCTATAATTAGAAATTATCCAAATGTGATCTTTGTACCCTGATTGTCTACAGCTTTCATTATAATATTCATAAAAGCAAATTTTGTCATTTGGTCATTTTAGGAATTCATCAATTTGCATGCACACAGAAAATGATTTTCCCCACTGTTAAACTCAGAAATGGCCCAATGTGTAATTTTTGACCTGAAAGACATGTTAAGCAGACTGAAATGTATTATTATTATTGTTATTGTTGTTGTTGTTAATATTTTTACTACTACTACTACTACTTTACATGCAATGGACAGAGTGACTGTAATACAGTTTTGATTACAAGGTGAATAGTCAGTAATTAAATCTTTAAGCTCCATATGGCCTATATTTTTAGTATTTTTTAACTGGTTGTATATTCATCTTTATTAAACATCTCTTTTACAAAATTGTGTAACTATGTTTTAAGTTATTTAAAAAGCTTTGACTGCTGTCTTTACCTGGTCTTCCACAGCAACAGCAGTTTCACCCAAACAGGCTGAGCTGACTACAGCTTTACAGCAGACAGAAAGTTTTACTTCAGCTACAAGGCAGAGAGACAATTTCAATTCAGCAACAAAACACCCAACAGGATGGGCTGTGACCACACGTCCCTCTGGTGCCTTGACTTCCAACACTAATGAGAATCTGAACAGCACACATTCACCCAGGTAAACTGCTAAACCCATTTCTTTCTCTGCAAACTCAATTTAAAAATATGCATTCACGATTCAAAGTTAGATAAGAAAAAACCTGTCATCGATCCAGCATAAAACCTTGCTTGTCTTAAAACTTCATTTTCTTTCTCTTGTTCTCCTCCAGTCAGATGCTCCTTCTGTTGACACTGCTGTTGCTCCTTTTCCTCATAGTCACTGTTATGATCATCTGGATTCTGCGGAGAACAACCAGTGAGGAAAAAAACAACAAATAAACATTTACCCGAATTTGAACCACATTATTTGATTATTGATGTTATTTTCTTTTTAATTCATAATTTCATTAATCAGATAGTACTTCTAGTTCTCAAAGCTTGCATTGATCAACACAGACGTGAATGAAGCTCAGCTTTACCATCATGTCTCTGGAGAAATGCTGATCAGTAACAGAAATAGACCCAGCCGCCCTGTGAGTGTCCATTTCTGCATCTGCATCTGTGTTTGTTGCACATTACCAGTGTGACCCACATAATGCATGTCGCTTATACCAGCATATGTTGTGCTCTGATGCTCGTGGACCAGCATATCCTATTTTATCTCTCACATTAGTTTGGAAATATACACACTCTGTGGAGTCAGTTCTTAGAAAAAAGGCATAAAAAAGACAGAGCTGAAACAGTTTATAATGGATTAAATTTATTAGGAAAAGGCTAATGCAGATATATGTGGTTGTTTTATCTTAGCAGACCACAGAGCTTGGGGATGAGCTGATCTACAGCACCATGGTCTTTAAGAAACCATCAGCACAACCTGTGAGTTGAGTAAAATGTTTCCCTTTAGTTAAATGAAATGATTTCTGATTACCTCAGTTATGTAGGCAGGATAAATATTAACATGTGACACTGTTACATCACGAATACTGAAACTGTATTGTATGGGGAACGTTATATGATTACAGTATCCATTTACAGTGTGTGTCCTCTCTGAAATTATACAGTGTAACAGTAATGGTGCATGATTACAGTATCCATTTGCAGTGTGTCCAGTCTGTTCTTATCCAGTGTAACAGTAATGGTACATGATTATAGTATCCTTTTACAGTGTGTGTACTCTCTGTAATTATACAGTGTAACCGTAATGGTACATGACTACAGTATCCATTTACAGTGTATGTACTCTCTGTAATTATACAGTGTAACCATAATGGTACATGACTACAGTATCCATTCACAGTGTTTGTTCCCTCTCTAGTCCTCTGTAGACCCTGGGGATGAAGTGACATACAGCTCAGTCAATCTACAGGACAGACAGGGTAAGATTCCCCTGTATAACAGTAGCTAATATGAGACTGCAGAAACCCAGACACAACTATTAGGATATATATATATATATAATAATAAATAAATAATTTACCAACTCTGTAACAAAGACAGATGGATTGCCTGTTACAGTAAATGGAGCTCATAAAGTCACCTGTAAAATCCCCTTTCATAGACCATGATGTCTAATCATGTGTGTTTTCTCCCCTCAGAATGCCCCCCGCCCCCCCCCCCCCTCTGTTGTGACCTACGCTGCTGTGGGGCCAAAGAAGAAAAGGATCTTTTAAAGTCCTTGGACTGCCTGCGATGCCCTCAGAAAAGGGGAAATGTATCTGAAGGAGACGCCATTTGTAGATATTTGTGTTGGCCTGTTAAAGCCCATGCCCCCACCCCCCACCAAAAACAGAGTAAGGTCATTATTTAAATGAGTCATTTTGTTAGACCACTTCTTGTTTCTTTGTCTTGTTGAGTAAAATAACAATACAGAGGGAGACAGAGTTACATATTTGTGTTCTTGGTGACTATACAGCGTAAACTGTGGCCCAGCCTGGAAATGATGCCAATATAAACATCCCGCTGCTGGGCTTGGTGCTGAGTCTCATAGCCCTGAGGGTTCGAGTCACTGGATTTGTTATGGACTCTTGTACTGTTGCATTTCCCTCACTTTAATCTCTCTTCTCTGTCCTAGACCATGATTCTTGCCTTTGTCCTTTAGTTGCTGCTACTAATTAGCATTGTTGCAATGCTGAAATTATGACCTCGATACCAATAGCACTTTAAATATCACGATACTGGTACTGCAATGATACCATTTAAGAAAAAAACAGTTAAGTATTGTTCATGATAAATTATACACTTATTTCACTGAATCACATCACTGAAATTAAAAACATGCTTTGAATCAGAAATTATTTTAATGATTAAAGAATATTAGGGATTATGCATAGAAACCACAAGATCATAATCACAAGACTGAAAAATGAATGGCTCATGAGCATAGCGGGATATGCTAATCCAGCCAGTGCTTCAATATAAAAAAAACTTCCTGCACAGCTCGTTGTGCTTGGTTATCAACCACTTAAACCACAGTGCTGTATAATAACTTGTAGATACCGATGTTAGGATACGTTAATATCATCAAACTATCTGTTTGCCCTCTTGTGACCATGCAGGATTCTGCACTATATGTACACACTTGGATTTGCTTTGGAATATTAAACCATTAGCAATGTCTGTAATAGTGTAATCAGTACCATTGTAATGGTTTATATGGTAACCCATAAAGAGGCAGCTCACCCCAAAACTTTAAAAGGGCTTTAGTGTTATCAATCCATCTCAGTTGTTCTGCTGGGAGTTGATCTTCTCTTGAATCGTTACGGGAGATACTCCACTCTGTGCAGTTAAATACCTGAATGTCCTCACACTATCCAACTGCAGGGTGTAAATGGTGACTTAGCAACTCACTGTGTACACAGTCACTGGCAGAAATGATTTCTTAGACTGTGTTTGATTTACCCAGCATTTCCATAGCATCCATGTAAATCTCCTTTCACCCGACGAGACATTGTTATTTTCAATGCAATAAATGATGCAATTCAGCACGTGAGTAAATTCAAGTTTGCAGAAGAAAAACTAATCTAATCTAAATCACTAATTTCAAACCTAAAGTATTTAATACCTGTGTTTTGAGTTTTGTGATATATATCAATTGCTAAGTATTCACATACTTCCTGTAGACAAACAGCCACAGGTGTCAAGTCTGACGGTTTGCCCACAAGACCGGCAGTCTTATGTTGCCATGGCAACGAGATTAAAATCTCGTGGTTTGTCATGTGGCCAAACCAAACGAAGACGACATGGGCGAACTCAAGCTTCACTGCCAGACCCTGCCAGACCCCCCCACCCCTGGTTGGCAAGTTTNTCACTGCCAGACCCCCCCACCCCTGGTTGGCAAGTTTTACCATTGTCACCCACTCCTCTGGGCATCAAAATATATCAGTTTCACACCAGTGTCCCGCTATATGTAAGGAGATGGCACAGTGTTATCATCAAATTGTGCTCTTTTTTTTATCTCCCATCTCACTGTGTTCAATGCAACCAGTTTGACATGGAATAATAAATGATGCCCAACATTAAGACCAAGTAATTAAATATAACATCCATATGTAGCTGGATGAGTATTTATGTTGCTGCCCCTTTAATTCGCCCAATAACAAAAGTGATGTGAATGTGGGCTCTCTATATAGGTCAGTAGTGATGGGGTGTGGGGGGGGGGGAACCTGACGCTGAGAGCCTGGTCCACTTCTGGTTACCCGACTTCTCCTTTTTGTCATAGGTATGGGGTGGCTTGTCCACAGTCTGGTGCTGCTTTTTTTGTGCTTGACTCAGTGGTCACTTTTGACTTCTACCCGCGTCGTGTGGATCCCCTGTTTCGTGGTCTGCGACTGGAACTGCAGGTGCACGGTGGCGTCTGCAGGGGGCACCATAAATGTCACTGATTTAGCTGCTGCGGCTTGGCCTGCTCTGCTGCCACCCTGCTTGCTCTGCCGCTGCTGCTCTGCCTTTTTGTCTTTTATGCTCTGCTTTTTATGCTCTGCCTTTTCTTGTTTGTTTTGTTTTTTTTTTTTTTTTGCTAAGAGTCTAAGGAGGGCCGGGGTGTGTGCTGGTTCGCGAAAGCTGGTGGTGTCTCCTACAATTGTGTGCAGTCTGTGTGTTACAGCACAGGGTGGGTTTGTCTTGCCATGAGTGTGCCCCACATACTCTATGCAGTGTCTTTTACGGAGAATGTCAACCTGATATCCCAGTTGGTCTGCCTTTCAATGGTGTCAAATCAGACTCGCCACAACCTGAATGTTGAATTTATTTACCATAATTTTAATGTGTTAACCTGCAGGATTAACACATTCACCTGTCCTATTCCAGAGCTCTTTACCAAAAGCTATGGGTGCAAGGCAGGGAATAACCTAGGATAGGGTGCCAACCCATTGCAGGGCACACATGTCATTTACACCTACAGACAATGTGGTAACTCCAATCCACCTCAGCATGTTTTTGGACTGTTGGGCGTAAACAAAAGAACCTGGAGGAAACCGCACAGGGAGAACATTCAAACTCCACACACATGGGACCAGAGCAGAGACTCAAACCCTGGTACCAGAGATGTAAAGCAACATTTCTAACCAATGCGTCATTCCCAACATAAAACGTGTTAAAATATTTTATAGCAATGAATTGTTTTTCTAAGAAAATTTGCCATCAGTCTAAAAATATAAACTGCTATAGTTCAGTTTTATGATCCTTTCTAGTGAAATCATGAACATTCCGTAATGGTAAATAGTTCTGTTTTACCTGGCAATGTAATGAAGATGATGTGGAGGAGGAAGAGGAGAGGAGCCATGACTGAGTCTGTCAGAGACCCCAGCCCTCTGAAGACTGGCTCTCTCTTCCTGGTCTGCTCTGATACCACTGATATCTTTGTTCTCAGACAAAATAAGGTGCAACACATGCGCACAGTAACATGTAGCAAATGCGCAGAAACTGTGTGATTACACGACTCTATGGGGTCTATAGGGTCTCTATGGAGGGCCACTGTATACCTGACCAGAAAAAGGGGGAGGAAATGATGCTGACTGAGGTGTTTTGGTTATTGTCTGGTTCTCTGGATGCAGCATCTGTAGTTCATTGTGAGCTATGTGGTGAACCACACCCTGCGAGTGTGTCAGTGACACTGTGCCACTCACAGCAAGCCCATGCAAACAGTGAAGCCGCTGTAGCTTGTCTGTGGGTGGAGCCACCAACCTCTCTTGTTGGTGGAGACTCAAGGCCCTGGAGTGAGAGCTGGAGAGCAAGGGAGCCCAGAGGGATGTGAACTGAACCAGAGATTAAGGAGGAGAGGATGAATCCAGACTGGAAGTGGAGAAAAACGACAACTGACATCCACGGAGGAGGATTCAATGCAGCGGTGGAGGATTTAGAGGAGATACCACAGGGAGTCACCGGAGACTGAAAAGAGGACAAAATGAGAGGATTGCCAGTGTTGCGCGGGATACCAGTACTGAAAAGATACCGTGGGACCACATTTTTGAAAGCTGTTCAGTATTACATTTCTTTAGTACCAGTGTTGTGGTTTAAGTGGTGATCCTAGTAACTAGTGGCATGCGTTCACTTGTTTTTGCAGGAGATGGATGCAGATTCATCAAGTTTGGAGATCCAAATAGGATAAATAAAAATACTCAAATGTAGAAAAGGCCCCACATGTCTGTAAAATATGGCAAACATGCATACAGTTGTAAAGGTGATGTAGCAGCCTACAGTATGAATATAAAATTGAATATCTTATGAAAATAGATTGCGGTTTAAATATATATTTTAAGTAAACACAAGTATATGAATATTGTATTGTATAAGTATATTGATGAATCTACCATTACCACACATCTGCAAGGATAAATAAACAAATAAACCGGATTGTATGGGGAAGGTATGGTTACAGTATCCATTTACATTGTGTGTCCTCTTTGTTATTGTACAGTGTAACAGTAATGGTACATGACTGCAGAACCCAGTTACAGTGTGTGTCCTCTCTGTACTTGTGCAGTGTAACAGTAATGGTACATAATTACAGTTTCCATTTACAGTGTATGTCCTCTCTGTAATTATACAGTGTAACAGAAATTGCCCATGATTTCAGTATCAATTTACAGGGTGTGTCCTCCCTGGAATTATACTTAAATGGTTAAAGTGCTATACATTTGAATACAGTTACAGCTTTAAGTTCGGTCATAATTTATAACGATAAGTAAAGTACAGCTGGAAAATACAGTTGGTATCAATCTAAAATGTTCAATTGGCACGTTGAAATGTTATTTGTAATGTACATTCTTCCCTCTTGTGTCCAATATTGGTGCTACAAAGAATGTCTCTAAGTTCTAGTCCCTTACGCTGAATGGCCACTACAGTGTTACTTAAATAAACCTCAATACAATAGCATTTAAATGTATTTACTAACAACCTATTCTGGTTTAATGGTAGAATATGTACACAGTTAAGAACCCCATACATACTCAGACACAAATATGCACAGAAGATGAGTCTCTGACTTAACTGTTAATCTTTTGGTTCCCAAATAATTAATAATGTTTCATAATTATTTTCCATGGTGTATATTATCTATCACCCTGTCACTTTTTCTTATTGCACCCAGGCATTCTTTAGACATTTTATTTACGTTGATTACGGTGGAGAGGATGCTTTTGTTGTTTGAACACCACCCTCTTGTGGTCTTTATTTGTTACACCAGGAGATGCCTCAGTCCCAAGACAAATTCATTATTCGAACCTCAAGGCAATAGAAGCACAATATTTCTGATCCATACAATTCACACTCTCATGGACAGAGGACACTCCAAAAGCTCCAGCATTTATCACTGACCCCTGCAATACACAGCAAGCTGTCAGTACGATGCCTCTTTGCTTATGTGCTATTTGCCCATTCAAGTTCCAGAACAGACAAAACTGCATTAAAGAAATGTTAGGTGATCTCGCCGATCGGTTTTAACCACAAGGTGGGTTTTATTCACCTGTACCAATCATACTGACAACCCACTCAGATGGCCCACAATGCCCATCGCCCTGCTTACTCCTAACACTCATGCATACATACACACACACACGCACACACGCACACAAACACACTGTATACAATGATTAACATTAAACACTATGCATGTGTGGCAATAAAACACCTATACTGAGTTTTATTTCTCTAAATTCTGTTCGACACCAGCAATACAGTAAATTTGACCTGACTTGAGTAAGATAAAATTTCTTTATTAAAGCAGGGTGCACCCGGAGTTGACATCAAAGAAACAGGGTATCCCGTTCTAAAGAAGCAAACCCCTGAACAACAGAAAGGCTCAGTTCTTATACATTTCTTTAACTCCCCTAAAAGGAATCTTCTACCCCATTGCATAAGATGGAAAGGCGGTGATCTCAGGCACCTCCACATTCCTCTAGGCCCAGCGACAGACATCCAGTTGCCATCAGCTACATCCCACCCTTGCTAGCCCTTCACATATTTCTACTCAGTCCAATCCATGCAAGCAAGCAAATCATATTAAACATAGCACACATATTATAATACATAAGAAAATACTTCTGATTCTCTATTCAGTATTTCTATCTGCTCCTCCGTTATCTTCCTCTGCGGCATTGAGCAGCCAGTGTAATGCATCTTGTTTTCTCAGCAAGGCAAAGGAGTCTGCGATTATTTTCAGAAACAGGCGGTTTCAGCTTCCAGTTTCAGGGTCAGCGCAAGACACACATACACACGTCTTTTTGCCTAAGGCCTTAGACATTGACAGCATTCCCTCTGCACACCCCTCCCAGCCCTACTGGAATTCTTCTTCCACACATGACATTACAATACAGCACAATGACATGGCAACTATGGAGAAATTATTACAAATTATTACCAAGCCAACCTCCACGTTGTCTGATGGTACCTTCAGTGCTACAAAACTATTATTAAGTCATAAACAACCTTCCCACTGTCACGCCCCGCCGGTGGACCGATGGGAGGCGGTTGGCCCCAACCAATACCGGGACTCTACGTTAGATAAAAGCCCGAAAACACTGCAGCCCGGTGCGAGGTATTGTTGATGAAAAGATACATACTGAGCGTTCATTTCCCTGTCTCCCGTATAGCTCCGTTCCGCCCTGCTTGCCCTGTCCGACACTCCCTGCAACCCATCTCAACCTCCCTCTTGCCCTTCCTCCCCTTGCTCTTCCTCCTTGTGAATTCCCCGTGTGCCTTGTCTGTGTCTTCGGACGAACCCATCGGTTATCGACCCTTTTGCCTGCGACCCCGACTACGGTTCCGGATCATGACCCTGGCCTTCTGGTTGTTCCCGATCTCCTGGTTTTCGACGCTGCCTGCACGACCACGTCTCTGCCCGCTCCCAGTCTCTGTTCCATCGGCACAGCTAAATAAAGGCTCTGTTAACAATCCCTCTGTTGGTCTGAGCGGGTTTGTGACACCCACTGCTTTGCTACTCAAATGAGAAGGGTCCAGCAGTAGAAAAGAGCCTCGCTTATCGTGGATCTATGGAGGTGGATCACTGTGTGTGACGTCACTGACATGCTATCCATCATCCCATACAATAGGTGGCAGTAGTATATGCAAACTGTTGTCCCATGGTAATAATGGAGAAGAAAAGGCCATTCATGGGAATGTGTCCGAATTCAGGGGCTGCATCCTTATAAGGATGAATTTGAAGACTGAATGTATCACAGCGATGCAACAAGCTTGTCTCATTTCAAAGGGTCCTTCAAATGCAGCCCAGAAATGCATCCTTCTTTTTCATGAAGGATCCACCTGCTCCATGAAGGATACATCCAATGGATTCTACTCAGGCTAACATATCCCAAGATTCACTGTGCAGAGATGGGTGTGCCCCAGCTAGGGGATAGGAACAGCGCTTCGTGACTCAATGTTAAGGGTAGGAACAACCGGTGACTCAAATAGGAAATTACACAGAACATCCCATTTGACAACGCTTTCTGTTTGAACTTCGATATTGGGATTTCAGCAAAAGAATAAAGTATTTTTTGTATTTGTATTTTGTATTTGTATTTTGTATTTGTATTTTGTATTTGTATTTGTATTTTGTATTTGTATTTTGTATTTGTATTTTGTATTTGAAGAAGCCTCTGAAATGGGATAGCCTTGTCATGTCATTGTGACACATTCAATCTACTAATTCAATCTATTAGCCTTAGAAGGATGCAGCTCCTGAATTCAGACACAGCTACTGTGTAACTACTCACTGTTTGTGTGCCTTACTGTCTGGCATCAGACTTCCCTGCTTTTCCTGTTATATTTGTTGGACTATTGGAATACACATATTTAGTCTTTTTAAGGATTACCATTGAAGTATTCCCCGTTTGAGTTAATCTGTTTTCATATTGTTCCTCCCTTGGTCCAAAATGCTTCACTACATATAATATGCAGTTTGTTAGAACGGATTAGAGGTATGAAGAAGCACTCCAAGAGGAATGAGCCACGATGACCTTCATTTTGAAATCCCATTAGAACCACCATATTTCTAGTTCTCCGGTTGTATACTGTATACTCATACAAAAATACAGTTGGCGCTATGGTAGGAGCATGTCAGCAGTACATTCCTAAGCACAGAGCGACTGACTAAGACCAGATCCAACTGGTGCCAGTGCTTCGAAGAAGGTTTTCTCTAGGAGACATTGTGTTGAGGCTTTGTTTGAAAGAAGGAGTTGGTTGTGCACTGGTCAAAGTATGTGCATAACTCTTGCAGTCACTGCCCATTGTTATTCATGTTTCCTACTCCATGGTGTCCGATGTAAGTGGGCAAGGATTCATGATCAACACCCACTCTGGCATTGAAATCGCCTAGAAGGACAACTTGTTCTTTATTGAGGATACTCCTAATGATAGTTCACAGGTTCTCATACAACTTGTCCTTTGTCTCAGGAGTGGCACTCAATGCAAAGCTCACTTTATACTCTCTGCTCATCAGAAGACTTCCTCTGCCAGAAGAAGGTGTAGTCTTTTAGAGTGCTGGAATCTGTCAGGTGAGTTTTCTGAAGGCTGGCTACTTCGACATTGAGCCTCTGGAGCTCCTTGTTGATCACAGCTGTCTTTGACATTGCTAATGTCGTGGAGGTTGTCAGTGAGCCCTGTCATCATCGTACAAACTTTCCAGGTACCCAGTTTAAGAGGTGATCTCTTTCGTTGTCTTTGCTTTTCACCTGGTACAATGTTTATAACCTGCAATTCGGATTAATCCTCTTCTCCATGCACCCAATGAGGAAGGCAGGCTGTGGCGGAACAGCACCTGCTTCGCTGGGGGCCCCCAGCTTAAGGTGGTCGGTAACTGTCTAGTGCGATCCTAGAATCCCTCCCTTTGATGGAAGCAGCCCCTGGCACAATCAAGCTGAGTGGCTTATAATCGGTATCTGCTACAGGTTGCCCATGAGGTGACATTCCTCTGGTCATGGGTGACTTCAATGCGACCACTGGCTGGGTACAAGGATTGTGTTGGTCCCCATGGGTCTGGAGACCGTGGTGAAAGTGACTCCATGTTCCTTGACTTTGTGAAAGGACTGCGATCCTGGTTCCAACGCCCTGAGCCGCATCGTTGAGCTTGATACTCCAATACTGGGGATGCGGCGAAGGAGATCGATCACATCCTTGTGGGCAGATGCTGAAGGCTGCAGCAGAACTGCAGGGTC